TTTCCCCTCCCCTCTCCTCCCCTTCCCTCCCCTCTCCTCCCCTTCCCTTCCCTTCCCTTTCTTCACTCCTTCATTCCCTTTATTCCTTCTTTTTCCTTGAAAAGATGTTTCAAAGCCACTGCCATGTCTAATATCTATTCCCTACAAGGATTCTGCACAGCTACTTCTTATTAGCTGGTGTACCCATCTATTAGTTGTTGTGCGTGTTGGCTGATAACTTATAGTCCTTTACATCTTGAAGAGGTGCCCTGAGAAAAATTGTAGCTGTCTCCCCTGAAATTCTGTGCCTGCCATCACCCTCTACTCTATAAGACAGTAGGAGAAAGACTTTGGCTCAACTAATTATTAACTGTCACATGGATTCAAAGTGTTCTCCTAACTGTCCTTGGGTTTCAGGTGAATTCTATGCTCCAGCTGAGATTACTTTCTTGCTTAAATTTTCTAGCGACCTACTCTACTTTCCACACTCTCCTGTAAGTACTTCCTTCCTATTCAATCTGAGAATGAAGTGTCAATGATCATCTCACCTCAGAAACACCAATTTGAACAGCTTATCTCTTGCCAATATCCAAAATTATTTTCACAAGAATTAAAGAAATCAGATGAGAGATTATAGTGCCCTGTTTTAATTAAATGGAAAAAAAAAAAACAAATGCACTGAATATGGTGTGATGGATCAAGATATTGTGTCACTTCTACCTCATCCGAAGCGGAGCTTCTGCATTCCTCACACTTAGGAAAGGAACAAGGAGTAAACTGAGGCCTTAGAATTGAAATGAAGTATCAGACTAGTCACTATCAAACACAGTGCCAAACTGCCTCATAACCCCTTCTCTCAGCCAAGTACATACAGACTGAGTTTTTGGACCCTCATTAGCCAAGTGGCCAATGAATCACCTCCATCATCCCTTCCCTAAACTCCAATAGACATTGGAGCAAGAATTCAACTGCTGGGGAGTAGGATTGTGCTTTGCCTTGGAGCTCAATGCCAGGCCTTCCATGCAGCCCAAGGCCTTTAAACCAGGTCTATATTTGCAGATGAAGACCCTAGTAGCTTATTCTGAAAGATACACCAACTATAGAACTTAGACAAACTGGATTAGGATGTCTTTCAGAGGTGAAACAGTGACAATACAACAATAAACAGACTTGGGGCAGAGCTCAACTTAGCAGACCACATAGTGATAAAATATGGAACCATCTACAGGCTCAAGGAAAATAGCAGATTGTCAGAATTCTTGGTAGGCAGGGACAAACAAAGTCCAATCATCATTACTGGGAAAAATTCCCAACAGTCAAATGCACATATGATGCCATACACCAATCAACATCAAGAACTCTCCAGGAGCCTTTATCTAACAATCTATATCGTGTCAGAAACTGATAGGCAGAAACTAATATATGCAAAATTTCTGATGTAGAATTCAAAATAGTTGTTTAAAGACACTGGCAACATTCAGGTAAGAACAGAGAGATGATTCATTACTCTAACATTTAATATAACAGAGAGATGGAAATAATTTTGAATATCAAGTAGAAATTTTTAAGGTGAAAAGTATATTACATGGAATTAAACGTTTTAAATAAAGCAGCAACAGCAGAATAGATCAAACAGAAGAAAAAATAAGTGAAGTGATGACAGGCTACCCTGTCAGAGGAGAAAAAAGAATGAAGAGGAATGTAGAAAGATGAGGGGAACTCTGAGACATCATTCAAAGAAGAAATATCTAAGTTATTGACATTAAAGAAAGACTTGAGAAGACCAAAGAGGTAGAAGCATGTTCAGATAGATAATACCAAACTATCCAAACCAATAGAAAACTACCCAAACCTAGTGAAAGATAGAATTACCATGATACAGGAAGGTCAGACATACCAGTCAGATTCAACTCAATCAAGTCTATTTCGTGGCATATTGTAATCATTGTTAAACATAAAGAGTGGATTTTCAAAGCTGCAAGAAGGGCTGCATTGTGGCATAGTAGTTAAAGCACTGGCATCCCATATGGGCGCTGGATGGTGTCCCAGCCACTTAACTTCTGACGGAGCTCTCTGCTAATGTGCCTGGGAAAGCAGCAGAAGATAGTCTAAGTGCTTAGGCCCCTGTGTGGGAAACCTGGAGAAAGCTCTTGATTCCTGGCTTTGGTCTGGCCCTGCCCTGGCCATTGCAGCTATCTGAAGAATGAACCAAAGGATGGAAGACTCTCCTCTCTCTCTGCTTCTCCCTTTCTCTCTCTGTAACTGCCTTTCAAATAAAAAAAAATCTTCAAAAAAAAAAAAAAAAAACAACTGCAAGACAAAAGAAGCAAATAACACATAACTGTATCCCAATTGCTGAAGACTTAACAGAAATTACAGGCCAGGAGGGATTAGAATGAGAATTCAAAGTACTGAAGAAAAAAAAATTAAAATATTACTCAAGAGTACTATAACCAGCAGAGCTATCCTCTATGTGAAGGACAAATTAAAGCATTCTCAGATAAACAGAAAGAGAATTTCCCGGTTGCCCCTCTTCCAGGCCAGCTCTCTGCTGTGGCCCGGGAGTGCAGTGGAGGATGGCCCAAGTGCTTGGGCCCTACACCCCATGGGAGACCAGGATAAGTACCTGGCTCCTGCCACTGGCAGCACGGTGCGCCGGCCGCAGCGCGCCGGCTGCGGCGGCCATTGGAGGGTGAACCAATGGCAAAAGGAAGACCTTTCTTTCTGTCTCTCTCTCTCACTGTCCACTCTGCCAGTCAAAAAAATAAAAAACATAAAAAATAAAAAAAGAAAGATAATTTATTTCCACCAGAGCTGTCATACAAGATATGCTAAATGAAGTTCTTCAAACTTAAAGACTATAAAAAATAAACAGAAAATATCAGAAAATAGAAAGCTCTCTGAATAAAAAAGCCATGAAGTAAATCATGAATCTCTAGATAACTGACATTTGATAAAGGTGTTAAGAATATGCATCTGATATTGGGGGATTCATGTCTGGATGGCAAAGAGGATATAAACATAGATAGGAGGAAGAGTACTCTTTGACAACAGGATTATTAAACTTCCATCTGTGGACACTGGGAAAATGGAAGGAGAAGTATCAGCTGCCGTAATATCTCTGAATTTTTTTAACTTTTATATAATAAATATAAATTTCCAAAGTACAGCTTTTGGATTGCAGTGGCTCCCCCCCGCCCCATAACCTCCTTCCCACTTGCAACCATCCCATCTCCTGTCCCTCTCCCATCCCATTCACATCAAGATTCATTTTCAATTATCTTTATACACAGATCAATTTAGTATATACTAAGTAAAGATTTCAACAGTTTGCACCCACACAGAAACATAAAGTGTAAAATACTATTTGAGTACTAGTTATACCGTTAATTCACATAGTACAAGACATTAAGGACAGAGATCCTACATGGGGAGTAAGTGCACAGTGACTCCTGTTATTGATTTAACAATTGACACTCTTGTTTATGGCATCAGTAATCACCCTAGGCTCTTGTCATGAGCTGCCAAGGCTATGGAAGCCTCCTGAGTTTGCCAACTCCAATCTTATTTAGACAAGGTCATAGTCAAAGTGGAAGTTCTCTCCTCCCTTCAGAGAAAGGTACCTCCTTCTTTCCACTGGGATCTCACTCACAGAGATCTTTCATTTAGGTTTTGTGTGTTTGTTTTTTTTGTTTGTTTGTTTTGTTTTGTTTTGTTTTTTGCCACAGTGTCTTGGCTTTCCATGCCTGAAATACTCTCATGGGCTTTTTAGCTGAATCTGAATGCCTTAAGGGCTGATTCTGAGGCCAGAGTGCTTTTTAGGATATCTGCCACTCTATGAGTCTGCTGTGTATCCCACTTCCCATGTTAGATCGTCTCTCCTTTTTAATTCTATCAGTTAGTATTAGCAGACACTAGTCTTGTTTATGTGATCCCTTTGACTCTTAATCCTATCAGCATGATCAATTATGAACTGAAACTGATCACTTGGACTAGTGAGATGGCATTGGTACATGTCACCTTGATGGGATTGAATTGGAATCCCCTGGCATGTTTCTAACTCTGCCATTTGGGGCAAGTCCAATTGAGCATGTCCCAAATTGTATATCTCCTCCCTCTCTTATTCCCACTCTTATATTTAACAGGGATCCCTTTTCAGTTACATATAAACACCTAAGAATAATTGTGTGTTGATTATAGAGTTCAACCAATAGTATTAACTAGAACAAAAAAATACTAAAAGGGATAAAGTATTAAGTTGTACATCAACAGTCAGGACAAGGGCTGATCAAGTCATTGTTTCTTATAGTGAAATGTTTTTATATATGAGGGAAATGGCAGGACCATATGCCATTAAATTGTATGACTAAATTGGATGAAGAGAGGGAATGTGGCAAGTTCAGCTCTATTAATTAACATCTTAAATCTAATTTCAGAGACAGGCACTGTGGTATAGTGGGTAAAGCTGCGACCTGGTATGCCTGCACCCCATATGGCGCTAATTCCAGCCCTGGGTGCTCCACTTCCAATCCACTTCCCTGCTCACGTGCCTGGGAAAACAGAGAAAGATTGCCCAAGTACTTGGGCCCCTGCACCCACATGGGAGATCCAGAAGAAGGTCCTGGATCCCTGGATCCTGGATTCAGATCAGCCCATCTCCCAGATCTGGAATTCTGCCTTTCAAATAAATAAATAAATCTTAAAAAAAAATCTATTGCAAATCAAAGGGTCTCCATGGTAGCATTTAAATGGGGCTGCCATTGTGTCACAGGGGTTAAGATGCTACAGGCAATACCCTGGGAAGGCAGCAGAAAATGGTCCTGATATGTGGGCCTCTGCCACTCACATGGGAGACCCAGGTGGAGTCCCTGGCTTCATCATGGCAGGGTCCCAGCCCCCACCTTTGTGGCCATTTGGGAGAAAACAGCAAATGAAAGATCTCTTTCTCTCCTCTTTCTCACTCTGCCTTTCAAATATATAAATGAATCTCTATAAGAAGAAACCACTCACCTGCAGCTGGAGGACAGACAAAGCTGAAGATCAAGAATGACTTACTTTACACAGTTCAGAAATGTTGGCCTTGCTCAGGTAAGAAAGGGATTGCACATCAAAATAGTTATTAGATGTGGCAGATATATATGGGAAAGAATGGGGAAATTTTACATGGATATACCTGAGAGTTTTCTAGGAATTCTGTATGGGGTGAGAGTGGGGGTAGTGGAATCTAAAACTAAATAGGTGAGAGTTTGTTGATATGGAGTCATTTCCCTCAGGATATAGTATTTTAAACCCTGGTAACAACATCCAGTGATAATTCTATCAGTCTTGGGTTAGCTTTTAAACTTTGGAAAAGTCAATGGCTTTTAATAATGAAGTAATTTACAGATGAAGGATGTGCAATTTCGAAAAGTGATGTATGTCAACTTCGAAAGGCTAAAAATACACCAGTTGGTCAAGTCCCTCAGGAATGACCTGAGGACACTCTTTTTACCAAGTAGGAAAAAAAAATAATAGATGAGGTGTCATAAGCACTCCTGAATCGGAGATGCTATGCTCCCTAATAGCAATGAGAGTAAATCTTAGAATAGCAGTTTGTAGATAGCATTTAGCCACTAGGAGCAAGGTAAATGTAATTATTCTAAGGAGAAGCATGTTTAGAATATTGTGATATCAGCTAGTGGGATTGGTCTGAAAGACTTTATAAGAATGGTTCATAAAACATGGTTTCTAAGGGCACTATTTATAAGTAACCAGTAAAGGAACATCTTTATATATCATATATAAGCAAAAGAGATCAAGAATGAGTAAGCAGAAAGTCCATTTAGCAGAAAGTCCATTTCTGCTTACTTAAAAAGTTCCAAACCCACTTACAATTTTTAGAAAGCAGCTAGTTCTCAACTCAAAGCTCATTTACTGAATACAAGGCCTCCCATGAAAAGTAACTTAATATTACAGTGAATGTATGCATTTGTAGTTCCTCTGTCATTATCCAAATGGATCCGCAGCCATTTACTTAGACAATCATATAGAGTGGAATGCCTTTATGTTTTCAGGAATTTTGGCTACAGAATTTGAGTTGATGCTGATGTTAAAGACTGAAACAACAGTTTGGCTCTCCTAATTAGAATAGGAGATCTGGTAAGGTCCATCTCATAATGGATCCATGAACTGAAATGGGAATAATTTCCCCAATATCTGAATGTAATATTGAAATGGATATACTTAGCAATTGAGAGATGCCTCACATTGGTTCATTAAACTTAAAGAGCTATTAGAATAGGAGAGTCTTGTTATACACCATATAATTTACTCATGTGGTTGCTGTAAAAACTAGATGGATCATGGCAGTGGATAGCAGAGTGAATCAAACTTAACTAACTAGCAGCTCCAGAGGTTTCTTCTGTGCCAGTTATGATATCTTCCTATAGGGTAGATTAACAAAGCCTCTGGGACCTAGAATGAGTTTTTCCCCATTCTTGTTAACAAGGTGATTCAGATACAATAAGCACTCATTGTATAGATAACAGTATATTTTGATGGTCTTTCCTCAGTGTTATATTAATTCTCCTGCTCTCTGTCACACTGGTTTAAAGGGACCTAAATCATATGCACATATCACAAAAAGTACATTGGTATACTAGATATTTGACAACAAGTGAATTGAACTTCATGGGCAAGAAATGACAAGTACTCTGGATGCCTTGCCAAGACATATACTTCAGGAGGTGGGAGACAAACCCTATAATGTTTAAGCAACTTGCTACTTCACTGAATTTTTTACTGGCCTGATGATCTAGTAAATGCTAGAAAGTTGCAGTCACAACTCTCCCTCAGCTTCATGAGAGAGGTCTTCTCTTCCCAGTTGATGTAGGAACAGATGTTTAAATAGAGTGGCTTAGTATATGGATGCAAATAGAAAATGAACTGCCGTTTTACTATATTCCCTACTCAGGAATTGCCCCGACAGAGAGTGGTAAGAAAAATCTTCCCAGTGGGCAAAGCATCAGCCAATTCATCTGAAGATTCAGATTCACATGTGTAGAGCAGTGGTCCAAATAAGGGTACACATGGTCTTTTACACAGTGGTGAATGGTTAAACTGTCGGTACAGAAGTCTGGAAGGACTAAAATTGGAAAATTGGGGTTAACCAAGTCCATGTCAAACGCTGGGCCCAACACAAGCGGCTCCCAGTTCTTCATCTGCACTGCCAAGACTGAATGGTTGGATGGCAAGCATGTGGTCTTTGGCAGAGTGAAAGAGGGCATGAGCATTGTGGAAGCCATGGAGCACTTTGGGTCCGAGAATGGCAAGACCAGCAAGAAGATCACCATTGCCAACTGTGGACAACTCTAATGCGTCTGAGTTTTATCTCACCCACCTGACCATTCCTCTAGCTCAGGAGAGCGCCCTCTGCCCCATCTGCTAGTGATGCCCTGAACTGTGCTCTCCCTGCGGGTCTTTGGTTCCGTGTTTTCCTTACTTCCCCTCCAAGTCTAGCGGAATTGCAGAGTTAAAAGTTATGATTATGAAATAAAAACATAAACAAACAAACAAAAAAAGCATGTGTTCAGATCTACAGTTATGAGTACACAGTGTAATACTCTTTGAATTGCACATTAACAACTTTCATTTATGTTATTTCTAATTAAAGCTATCAAATCATTTATCTGTAAAATATCTCACATTTTTTTGGACTGATTATGTAAGTGTGATATTGATTAAATGTTCTTCTATACCTATGTTTTCTGCAACAATTTGGCACTGGTCTAGATTTCATTAGAGTAAACTTTGCACATGGTCTCTCCAGAGAGGTGTCGTAATCTGTACTTTTCTATTGTATCTCATTCAGAAGAACATGATTGTCCTATTTCTGTTTAGATTAACATGGTTCAAGAGTTGCATAAATCACTAATTTTTTTTCCTCATCAATCACTTATAAGAAAGTTTTATCATTTAGTGTTCCAGCAGAGGTTGCAAAGAGATGATATCTCAATTCTAAAATTCTTGATGAATTTACTAGTTATTATTCTTCTATAAAGAGGAAATTTCATCTTGATATTCTGAAGTCTAGTCCAAGCAGGAAGGAAAAACTAAATATTTGATTTTTTTATTTATTATTATTATGTTCTTGTTTCAACAGTTATTAAAGCTGATCCATAAATATTCATTTGAATATCATTATGAAGTTAGGGAATTTTTTTTGAATATCACTGTAAAGTAAATATATATATAGTGATATGCATTTTAATCTATAGTAGTCATTGTATTATTATTTTATTTATTCCATGTTTGAAAAATGGATGCTAAGAAATATTTTTAATAAATACATAAATTGTAAGTTTATGATTATTTTGATTATATATTTGTATCTCCTACTTGCTGTTTTGCTTGTTTTTTTTTTTACTTAAAGATTTATTTATTTGTTTGAAAGGCAGAGATATAGAGAGAAGGAGATATGCAGAGAGACAGAGAAATATCTTCCATCCACTGATTCACTCCCCAAATAGCTGCAAGACCAGGGCTGGGCCAGGCCAAAGCCAGGAGCCAGGAGCTTCCTCTGAGTCTCCCACGTGGGTATGGGGCTCAAGCACTTGGGCCATCTTCCATTGTTCCCAGGCACATCAAGAGGGTGCTGCGTCTGAAGTGGAGCAGTGGGGACTTGAACTGGCATCCATATAGGATGCCAATACTACAGGCGAAGGTTTAACCTTCTAACCACAGCACTGGCCCTGACTCTATGGTCTTAAACAATATATTGGAATACAAGTGTCCCATTAAGATTTACCAAATTATTTTGCAGTTGAAAATGGCATGTACATCTGATTCCACATCTAAGGATTTAACAGGGTATGGATGGAAAATATTTAGGAAAACAAACTGCATCTCTACTGTATTTAGGTATACTTTTATTCTTGTCATTATTATCTAAACAATACAATTAACTACTAATTACATAGTATTTACATTGTTAAGTACTGTTAGTAATCTAGGGATGATTTAAAGTACTGTGGGGGAGGGTTTGTGTGGTTTATGTGAAAACACTGGAGTCTGAAGGTTTTAAGATTTGTGGGGGGTCCTCTAATCAATAACTGCATTTTTAAAGTAGTGCTCTTTAAGATGTAAACTTGGAAAACATTCTAGCGCTATCTATGTGTTCCACCCCATTCTCATTCCCTCCAACCACCAAGTTCAAAACTAGGAGGCAGCAGCTAAAAGCCTCTTTTATGGTTTTTTGTGTTCCAAAAGCTTATAGCCTTAACCCAGATACCTACTTCAGAGATTCATAGCATGCAAGCTTTGTGGCTCTTCTTTTGAAGTTTGCATTTATAAGCTTTTGTGTAACAGTCTCTGTAAATTTCCAAGAGACTGGTCTGAACTTCTTGATGACAGAGTGTGAATAAACATTACAAGCTTTTTGTGAAAGAGAATGAGGCTCCATATAAAAAGATTTTCTCTAAATCCTATTATATCCCCTTTCCCATCCCTGTGGTTCTCACAGACTTTACTATCCCTAGTACTATCATCCTCTCCATTTCTGCTATTACTTCTGCTCCTCCCAGTGTGTCTAACTTGGGTTTTCTCAAGAAGTTCCTTAGTTCACAAGGCCCACTCTGCATAATAAAACAACTCTGAGAACTAACTGGTAGACTCGCTTTTGACAATAAAAGCACCAAAGTCAGTGTTGTTAGAAGCATTCTAACCACCTATTGTTATTTATGAATGCCCTGGGGAGTCCTCAGTTTGTTCCTTTACACTTCAAATGTATCATGATCTTTGACCTAGAAACTACTCTCCAGGAAATCCAACTTGATGCAGTAATGAAACTGCTACAAGGATTTATGCTAAAAATTTATTGCAAAAATTGCATAATGGTAAAAGTTTATTTTTACTGAAGTAATAATAGGAAAATATTAAGTATTATATGGATTTATATTAAGCATTAACTATATTATGCTATAAAGTTATCTAAATAATATCTAAAAACTTTTTAAAAGAACTCTTCAGTGATAAATGATAAAAATAATATCTTAAGTAAAAGGTAACAAAACATTAATAATGTTAGCAATGGTATTATCTTTGTTTCCCAAAATGTAATGAATTGAGATATGCTATTTTTATTAACAAATACACATACACACCATCCACAGGAGTACAAGACTGTGATCTGGATACTGAAGGACAATAGTGTTCAGAGGGAAAAGTTGAGACTTACAGAGCATTACAGTTAGAGAATTTGTGCTTTAAAGGACAATTTTCAAATGAAGGTGTTATTGGAGACAGACCTTAAATGTCCCATCTGGGGTACCAAATATGTCACTGGAGTTATACCCCTTAATGAGCCTGTGTGTTCTTGCCTAATATTCAGAGAAGAATTCTGAATACTGGCACAAATAAACAGGGCAGCATAAGTTTTAAGCTTTTTATTCAGTGAGAGAAATGCATAGGAGAGTGAGAGCCCTATCTAAAAGAGAGAGAAATCTGGATTCATACCAAGCAGCAAGAGCCAGCCATGTTGAGGAACATGCAGGCCAGGAAGCATGGAGCAGGTGGCCCGAAGTCCACACGCTTCTAGGCATGGGGGCGGCAAGGGCCCACAGTAGCAAAAGAGGCAAAAGACCAAAAAGGCTGGGCCCACCACATTCTAGGACTTTAATACACTTCCGAAGGGGCATGGTTAATTAACCTGATTGGCAGGTGGGCACACAGGTGTGGCCAGATAGGAGTGTGAGGTCACACAGGGGCGTGGTGAAAGCGTGGCCTTCCAGCTCACACACCTGATCAATTTTATTCTGTATGCCTACCTACAACAAAGGCAGACAAAGTCGAGATTTGCAAATGATAATGAGCACATACACCTGACACTTTGATACCTCCTGGCCTCATAGTACCTGGAATATAAGAGAAAGTACTGGGACCAGTGCTGTGGCAAAGCTAAAAGCTGCCACCTGCAGTGCCGGCATCCCATTATGGGTGTCAGTTCCACTCCTGGCTGCTCCACTTCCCACCCAGCTCTCTGCTATGGCCTGGGAATGCAGTAAAAGATGGCCCAAATCTTTGGGCCCCTGCACCCACATGGAGACCAGAAAAAGCTCCTGGCTCCTGGACTCAGATTAGCCCAGCTTTGGCTGCTGCAGCCACTTGGGGAGTAGGCCAGCAGATTGAAGACCTCTCTCTCCCTCTCTCTGCCTCTGCCTCTCTGTAACTCTGCCTTTCAAATAAATAAATACAAATCTTTAAAAAAGTAAAGAGAGGGAAAGCACAGTTATACTGCAACTGTGAAATTGGAGTTTTCAATGAAAATCATGTTTATGTTAATTAGCATTTTAATTTTGGTCTTTTGGGATTTTTAAATCAAAGAGATTCCTTTAATTTGAACCTATATGACATATGTGCAAACATGAATCTGGTATAATTTTTCTAATACATATTAAAATAGAATAAAACTATTAAGGTTTAAATATTCATTCATGAATAGCCTGAAATCATCTTTAAGAAACATTACTTTAGACTAATAAAGTGAAAGGAACTTTCTTTGAAAGACAGAATATGTAAAAAAAATTGAAGGTATTTTTAAAATTTGTGGAAAATGGTATTTAAAGGAAGTTTATTTTGGTGCAAAAAATTCAGATCCATACATATAAGGGATATCCAAAGGGTTCATGGAAATGTATATTATGAAAATAGTTTATGAATTTAAAGAAATTTTGCACCAAAATATACTTAAATTTTAATTCAATTCCTATACAGTTTTTGAAGTATACTCACAATTGTCAATGACAAGAAGAAAGGATTTGGAAGTCAGTAGAGAAGATCTTGACATGAGGGAATAGAGCTTGTGGCCAGTTAGTACATTGATTCTGCAGTAAAATGTGAGGCATTCACCAAAAATGCTAAAATTTGGGAATTTTCTATATACTGAGATGCTGTTTTACATATGTACCTAAAAAATGGAGATAATAAGGAGAAAGCAAATGAAGCAAACTCCCCACATTAAGTAAAAAAATATGTTTAAGTAAAAAATTATTGAGATGTGGGTGTTTGGTACAGCAGTTAAGACTCAGATTAAGACTTCCACATCCCAGATCAAGGTACCTGAGTTGGAGTCCTAGCTTTGCTTCTGATTCCAGCTTCTTGCTAATGCCTATTCTGGCACACAGCCAAGTGATAGCTCAGGTATGTGTAAAAGGCAAAAGATTTATCTGATCTAAAGAGAAACAAGAGTATTAGCTCAGGTATTTGTGTGACTGTCACCCATGTAGCAGACCCAAATTGAGTTTCAGGCTCCTGGCTTTGGCCTGGCCTAGCCCTGGCTGTTATGGGAATTTGGGGAATAAACCAGCAGATGAGAACTCTCTTTCTCTCTTTCCCTCCCTCTCAAATAAAGATAAGTACATAAAAATTAAAATAAAGTCATTAATCAGATTTGAATCAATGACCAAGATCTCATCTTTTGAGGAAACAAGCAATTTGACAGGTATACCTCTATAATCTATCAGCCTGAAGGAATTTTAAAAATCAGTGAATATTAAAATGCACTAAAGGCCGGTGCCTTGGCTCAC